GGGGCCTGACCTGGACCCCCAGCGCCCCGCGGGGAAGGGACAGCGCCGAGCAAGGCCTTCTCCGGCCCATTCATTCCTCATCTGCGCCCAGGCTCTCCTCTCCCTCTGCAACCGGGGCTCCTGAGCAAAGCAATCTGGGGGAGTGGTGGTGTTAGGGTGATTTCTAAGCTCCATTCTTCTTGGCTCTGGAAATTCTGTTCTAGAAATGGACTAAAAGTGCAGCATGAGGAGCTTCAGTGAGCAATTAAACAACTGGTAATGTGGGGTTCACATCTAGTTCCTTGGCATGGAGTGACAAGGACTGCCTGTCCCGCTCACCCCCACCTTCCACCCACTAGGACAGTGCTAACAGGGTGTTTGTTGAGTGACTAAACGAGACTCGGCTGAGGCGAGGTGGGCTTGGCAGAAATCAGCGCTGAGCCTGTTGGAGGTGGGGGGCACAGAGGCCAAGGGAGAAGGGGAGGCGCCTGCTGATGTCCAGGTGAGACTCACAGCCCGTCCTGTCGCCGGCACCGAGCACAGGTGTTTGCTGGAGCAAGCTGTTCCCTGGAGCCCAGGTATTCAGGAGCCTCAGCAACGGTTCCAGAGGGCCGCAGCTCAGCTCTGGAGGACTGAGGACAGCCTTGCCTGAGGAACGAGCGCCATCTAGCGCTCACCGTGGAGAGCCACCTGCCCGGCAGGGCCATCGTGCCCCAAGGGAACAGGAGCCTGACCCACGCAGAATATTCACCTCACTCCTTGGCTTCCCCTGCCACGCCCGACCATCTCCGGCCAGTGGCTCCTTCCTTGGGGTTCACATTTGTAAATCAAAAAGTGGATCGTTCGATGGTGGATGAGGTCCCCTCTGCTCTGATACTGATTCCAAATTCTAGGACCCCTGACTGGTAGGGGGACATCGCCTCACCCTCTCCAGCTCCCCACGCCTCGAGGGGTCCGCCATCCCCGTGGCCGATCTTTGCGCTGTGCCATCCCCATGCTGGGTGCCTGGGATGTGAGGGTCGAGACTCACAGAATGCCCTCTTGTGAAGCCCAAGTTCTGGCGGGGAGTGGACACGTGGGCGAGCAGTTACCTGAACCCTCGGCAGAGGCAGGAGGGTGCCTGAAGTTTGAAAGGAACAGCAGGGAGGGGAGAGAGGGGCGGCTCCAGCCATGGCCAGCGCCTTCGCAGAGGCTCACGGGGCTCCCAGGCACAGCGGGGTGGGGAAAGGCGGGAGCGGGTCAGGGACCCAGAGTTCGGAGTGGGAGACCGGGCTTTATTCAGAGGCTGCAGGAAAGGTTTGAATCGCAGAGACGCGACTGGATTTTCCTCTGGCTGCTCTGTGCAGGCGGATCCCAGGTGCCGAGGCTGGAGGCCCTGGAGGAGGCGTAGCCCAAGCGCGAGGTGACGCGGTCTGGGGTGAGGAAGAGGCAGAGATGGGGCGGAGCCCAGGCTGGGTGTGAGCGGCGGGAAGGGGGCGCCTTCTCTGGAAGACACACCAGAAGGGCTCGTGGAGGGAGGGGAGCGTCCAGCTCTGCTGTGGCTCTCACTGGGACGCAGCAGGAATCGAACTCAGCTTCGTACTCAGCACCAGGCGGAGTGTCTGGCTGGGAAACATCTTCCTCAGTAGAAGCCCCGGAAGGTGAATGCCACCTCCACTCCTGGCAGCTTTTTTTTTTTGGTACCGGGGATAACTCGGGTCCTTGAGCTTTCGAGGCAGGCGGCAGCACCACTGAGCCAAATCCCTGGCCTGTTTTGCCTATTTTTGACTGTTAGATAAACGGAAGTACAGCGTATATACTCTTTCATGTTTGGCCTCCTCCCTTCCTTTCCCGCCTCTGTTCCTTCCTCACCCGCTCTCCTCTGTGCTGGGAATCAAACCCAGGGCCTCACGCATGCTGAGTGCCTGCTCTACCACTGAGCTGCGTCCCCAGCCTTGTGCCTGACTTCTTTGGCTCAAAATTGTGCTGTGAAATTTATCTTTTTATTTTTGTCACAGTGAGGACTGAACCCAGGACCTTTGCACTGAGTGACATCCCCAGCCCTTTTAAAATTTTTTATTTCAAGACCCCCCCTTTTTTTTGGTACTGGGGATCGAACTCGGGCCCTTGCCCTTGCAACGCAGGCTGCAGAACCACTGAGCAAAACCCCCAGCCCTCAAGACAAGGTTTTGCTAAGCCACTAAGTTGCTTGAATCAGGCTCAAACTTGCAATCCTCCTGCCTCAGCTTCCCAGAAGGGATTTTGGGTGTGAACCACCATGCCAGGCTGAAATTTGTCCATGTTGTTGAATATATTTGTAATCATATATATATATATATATATATATACACACACACACACACACACACACA